TTTTCCATCATATTAAATAACTGTTTCTTTTTAAATGTGAAATTTTATCTATATATAGTCCAATTTGTGCGACAATGCCATGGGGTGATAGAGAAAGAGTCTCGACGAATGTTTATCAACATATTTTAGGTCGTCATCGTTTTAATTATGGTAAAATAAGAAAATGTTTTATTTATTAATTTCTATGATTAATATGATTTTTAGAAACATATGTCAATTATGAACAAGACGAAGACACAATGATTGCTGAAGCTGTTGAAAGATCAATGTTTAATCATTAGAAATTATTTCCGGTTCTTTTCATAATTAAAATATTGAGCATGCGGTGATATTTTAAAAAGCTACGTATTTTTTTTTTGTTTTTTTAAACTTTTTTTTCACTCAATTTTATTCCTGACTATTCATAGTGTTCAATGACTATTGTGATCAAAATTTTTTTCTAAGAATAATGATACAATCGAATATCTATCTATCTATCTATATATATATATATATGTATTTTTCTAAATTTCAGATGCATATTAAATAAAGAAATAGTATTATAGTTAAATAAAATTTTCTATTTTTATTCGTTTTTTTCTTATGAATGTGAAAAATCAACAATCTAAACCAAAACTTCGAACATGGGCATCCGTTGCCAGTGGATCGTTAGCAGCTACTGGTGCGGTTTTTTTTACGAACATGCCTGAAACAATCAAAACTCGAATGCAACTTGATGGTGAAGCATCCACACGAAGTGGTTCGAGTACAAAAAAGCAATATGCTAATATATTCGATGCTTATAAAAAAATCATTCGACAAGAAGGATTTAGAGCGCTTCAGGCAGGTCTTGGCCCAGCTATTGGAATACAAATTATTATGAATGGATTACGTTTAGGACTTTTCGAACCTATTCAACATATAATAAGAGATATAACTAAATGTAAAGAACACAGTACTTTAAATAAAGTTGTCTCTGGTGCTATGTCCGGTGTAATAGGTGTAACAGTCAGTTCACCACTGTAAATAATTCTTTTAAAAATTAAGATCTGTAAAATACTAGTTGATTTTTGTTTAGTTATCTTGCTAAAAATCGTCTTCAAGCTCAATCTAATTATTTTCATGCTGCTGAAGAACATCATTATAAAAATACATTCGATTGTTTAAAAAAAATTTTTCATCATAAAGGTTTTTTTGGGTTATTTTATGGTGTAACAGCTGCTTTACCACGTGTTATTCTCGGTTCAGCTACTCAATTAACAACATATGATAAATTAAAAGAATTTTCAATAAAAAAATTAAATTTACGTGATGGTTTTCCAGCTCATCTATTTGCAAGTTTCATATCATCGTTATTTACAGTTACTATGATGAATCCATTTGATGTTATTTCAACACGTATATATCAATCAAGTGGACGACAAACAGTTTATTATGGTGTTATAGATTGTTTTAAGAAAACTGTACATGCTGAAGGATGGAAAGCATTACAAAATGGATGGTTAGCTCTTTACATAAGATTAGGTCCACATACAATATTAACATTTGTTTTTCTCGAAAAAATACGTGCATGGTTTTTGACATTTGATAGATTAAGCACAAAATCTCAACCGATTCCGATGGATGTTATTGTCAATAGTGATCCAAGTTAAGCAAGAAAAATAAGCATCTACTTACAATAAATTTGTATTTTTGTAATTTTTTTTCTATCGATAACTTTTGTTTCTTTTTTTTTTTTTGAATAGAAAAAGAAAACATAATATAATTTTGTTGATATTTAATAAAAATTATCGAAAATAACATAAAGACTAAAGATTTTTCATTGATAAATTTAGCTAAATTAACAAAAAAGTATGCTATTGGATAATCTTTTCACTTTATCATCTTTCGAATATTCTATTATTATTGTTGTTTTTGTATAGACTAACACTAGGACAAGAATACATATAAACAAAAAGATGAATGTATTGTATGTGACAAATTCATCTAATAAATGAGGATAACCTAATTGTTCCCATGTTGATGGATTATGATTCTGAATAGTTTATGGCACTTCAGGGGTAAGTAAGAAATTAATATCATCTCGAATTTTCGATCATTTATCTTTTTGTGTATGTTTTGAATTATGTCCTAATGCTTATGTTCGATAAAAACAACCATGTTTAGGTCATCACAGACTATCATGAATCTGTACAGCTTCAGTGTCACTTAATTAATCTTGAATAAATGTCACATTACAAAGTCATCTTGACAGTATTCTGGTTGTTGAAGGAAAAGACGTACTCAATAATTAACACCAACAACAAGTTTATATTTATGAAGTAGTTGATCTAAAAAAATTGATTAAAGTCTATATGATTATGAACATTTGTTCGATGATTAACTATATTATCACAATGTACAGAAAAAAACAACCGTTTCATATCATATCGAGATTTTGTTAACTTCATTATGTGTATCTGACATACAACCAGAATGTCAACACTTTAAAATTTGTTTTTCTAGTTGTATGAAAATAGCGATAGATAATAAATAAATTTTCTTCAGTTTCTAAATCTAAGTATTTAACTAAATATAGAATCAAGCATTTATTCTTTATTATCATCCTTTGGAACATGTGTCAGGCGGCTTTTTTACTCGTGGTACATGACTCCTGTTGAAAAAACAGTCGTAATAAGCTTATCAATAATGTCAACTATATATAGATGATTTAAATATTTGAATTATAAAACTTATCTAGATAGAATGATACGCCATTCTATTTATAATTGATATATCAATCTAATAAAAATAGTCGAGCTGCTAAAGCGTTTATAAATCATTAGAGTAGACACCGTTATCGTTGGCAATGTGATAAAGAAATGTTGCTATGCTTTCGTTGATTATCACTATATGTTGTCATTGCCAATAACAGATTAGACTCGATGCAAAACAGTAAACTAACGTCTTCTGTTATCTAGAAAAGTTATAATAAAAATATGATTCATTGTATTAGTCATTATGTTGTTTTTTTCATAAAATTCCATCATTTAAAAGTCATAGAAAAATTTGTCCTTTCTTTTTAATAATGTAATATGCTTTTACAATTAAATTTGTACAGATTACTATTTACAGTGTTTCGAAATATTTAGATAACCTAAACATAATTGTTATTAACATAAACTATAGTCACACATAAAAGTTTACACCAGTCGTATTCTTCAGTTTTCTTTCCTATGATTATAGCCAAGAAATATCTGAAAAAATATTTTAATAGTTGAATGGATTCTCTATCTGGTCTTGTGGATCTAAAACAATCTAATAAATTATCTTGCATCAGGGTATCTGAAAAACCAACATTTCCAAAACCAATTTTCTAGCATTCATTTGAAGTTTGTTGGAAATGGTTTTATTGGATAGAACAAGTAATTCTGAGCCAAGCGAAATGTCTCTGCTCTCTTCATGATGTTCCTTCATCGAATGACATTCAATTAATAGAAAATCCAAGAAGGGTTTTTTCTTTTGTTTTCATGCAAGATTTCATTGGTTTCGCGGTCGTTGACACTTTATGACCGTCTATAAATTGAATACAGTTCGATGAAAGATGGTCATGAAGAGAGCCGAAACATCTCATATTGTTCCATCAAATAAAGTCATTTCTGTAAAGCTTCGAGTAGATGCCGAAAAATTGGTTACAGGGATCTTTCTTATCCAGACATTTGCATGTAAGAAAATTTATTAGAGTTTTTGAGTTCGAAAATCCTGATAGAAAGCATTTGTAGCTACTTCAATGTTTTTTCAGATTCTTTCTAGCTATGCCCATCGAGAACAAAGATCAAAAATACATCTACTCTAGACTAATGTGCACCAGTATATTGTACAGTTCAGAAATGTAAGGCCAACGTATTTTTGATTTGTTTGTCTATGATACCTAACCTATAACCCAAATCCAAATAGTGTTTTGAAAGATCACCGTATTGCTTATTATTTTCACCAAAAAACGTTATAAGTATTACAAAGCAAAATTCATCATAGCCATGTTAAGTTCTTCATTTTTTTGTTTTTTGTAATGGTTACAATTTTTCAAGAAAAGTTCGTAAGACATGCAATTGTTTCTCATTTTGTTCAGGGTTTTGTATACTATCAAATGGTACTTATCAACTAATTTTTACAGTCTTTCGGGATCTGAAAACTATCGTATGCGGTTTTTCAAAAACTCTTCACTCAGAGTTCATCGATGAAATTTTGATATTTATAAAGAACTTGATTGGTTATTCAAACTATTATTTGGAGTTAATTTAAATGCTTCATCTTGTGGAAAAAAAAAGATACTTTGGGGTGTGACTGTGAATAAAGTGAATATCAACACCCACACCCACCCCAACCAGTTTTTCGAGCAGTAGCATTTAATTTTGAGAAAATGAAGTGTAGAGCTACTGTAAAAATCATTTTATTCTTTTCATTGAAACGTTACAAATAACAAAAACAAGAAAATTGCGAATTTTCGTCCTTACACATCGGTCATCGTCAGGCAAATGATTCGTTGTTTGATGTGTTTCTATAATGTTATTTCCCATTATTCTTTTGGTCTATTTTAATATAAGCACTTATATCAAAATAGCTTGACGGTGTAGGTGCGTGTGGATGGCTAATATCTTTATGACGCATCCAGACTCACACCAACACCACCCTCCGTCAAATATCCCTTCAAATAATAACATCGGAATGTTTTCATTTTGCTTCTATAAACTTCATACATATCTTAAAACGAATTAAATAATGATAATAATAATCAAAGCTTTGCTTAGTCTGTGAGATTATTTCATTGATTATTAAAAAGCAAATTCTATATTCTTATTTTAAGCGAATAAAAATTTGTATTATTACTGTGGAAAAATATCCTATGAAATCTTTTGTTACATTTTTTAAAGTAATTTTTTTTCTTATTTTAAAAATGATATTTTTACTGAAAAAAATCCTAATTATCAAGAAATATGGAAGAGCCTCAGATATATCGAAAACACATAGTAAATACAGTTTTTTTATTGTTGAATATTAATGGCCTAAATGGGAATAGAGTCAGTTTGTTTTTTATTCGAAGAAATGCGTACGCGTACAGAGAAACATTGCCGTGTGGATAATACCAATAGATGGTACACAGCAGCTAGATAACCGATGCCAGAGATGTCCATCGCGGTTAAAAACTGACCGCTGCCGCGCTACGACAATCAAAGAAAAAAAGCTAACGCGCCGCTACTGCGCCGCGGTGATAAAAACAGAAACCCTACCGCGACACTGCCGCAATGGTTATTGCAATAATGTTGTGAATTTTACGATCTGTGACTGTTCAGAACTAGAACTGTTGTTACCAATCGATAAGATTCGTCGAATTCCATAGTTTTGCACTTGCGAACAATGAATTTCTGTTCGAATTCCTGCATTTTTTGCATTGTTCTCCAAAAAAAACCTAACGCTATCGCGTCGCTGCCTCAATAATTATTTAAAAAAACTATCGTTACCGCGCCGTCATGAACATCTCTGACCGATGCATGTGTTGCAACGACTTTCAAGAAATTGTTGTCATTTCAATACCAATAGTTTCTTTGTCAAATGTATATAGCCATCAGATCAAGGGAGAAACAGCTGATTCTGTAGCGTTCGAGTCATTGGAAGTATGTAAATTTCATTTGGAATCAATGGACTCTTGAAATCATAGAATCAGCTGTTTTTCCCTTGCTTTTGAGCGTTTTTTAATATTTATTTCGAACATAGTATTCACCTTACATAAAAGTTTTTAGCGCAATTCATGCGGGATTAAAATGTGAAATACGGCGGGGCTGCTGTCATTTTGAACGGGGAGAACTCAGGTGTCAGTCACGGTCTGTGACGGAGAGAAAGCGTTGCTAAGGGTGTCTGTCTCGTCTGTGATGAGCCACTACTAAGATGTCTGTTACGTCTGTAAAGGGGAGGAGGGTGTGAGTGGGTAGGCCGGAGGGAGGGAGGGTGTGGGTGTGGAGGATGGATGGGAGGGAGGGTGTGGGTGTGGGGGATGGATGGGAAGGAGGGTGTCGGTGTGGGGGATGGATGGGAGGGATGGTGGGTGTTGATGCTCACTTTATTCATACCCACCCCACACACCCACACCCCAACCACATCCACATTTGGTATTTTACAAAATTGACTATTATAATCAATAAACAAATCTTTAGTAATATCATTAATAGTATTTAAACGAACAAGTTCAGATAATTGTTCTTGAGTAGGTTTTATTTGAATGGATAATAATGGAAAATCACGCAAAAAGACTAGATCAACAAGCCACTTACAACGTGATATTGGTACATATGGAAGTGCTACTTCGTTTCTTCTACGTTCTGGTGAAAATATTAGATCGATAAGAATTCTATCAAAAGTTTTACCTTGACATTGATGGGTGGCAAATGCGAATACCGATACAAAACGTAATTGAACACGTTTCACTGGAATGATTGATTTCTTTCTTTTCAATTTCAGGAATGTATTTGACAATCGAGCTAAAATATATAAAACTATTACAGTATTATTTTCTTTTCTTTCATGATATAACTTACAGCTTATATCGGCATTAAAAGTCTTGCTTGTAGCAGCGATTGGAATGATTTTCATTGATAAATTCTCAAAGATTAATATTAATCTTTATATCTGGAATTTCAATTAATGCAAATATAGGATCGGTAACGTATTTTTCTCCACTGGGGAAACCATGATTTTGTATAACAAAATAATCAACGTCATTGTTTTTGTAAATTAGTTTGTGACAAATGTCGGTCATCCCATTAGCAAGATAAAGTTAGGTTGTAATATAGTCGGTCAAAATCACTTCCATGCCTAATATTACTCTTAAAATAAATATAAAACCATTGGGAAAATACCAACCAAACCTTGAACTAATGGAAGATAGCTAGGCAATCCTTTTATTTTGTTATCGGATAGTTTCAATAAATGCTTAATAAATTTGTGTTTACTTACGGATTCTCCATATATCGTATCCCTTGCTACACAGACAATGGGTTATTCAACTATTTCCTCAGCCATGCAAATTACAGACATTGTTTAATCTCGTTCTTAAATAATTGCGACACACAAGCATGACAGCTTTTTTTCCGTTCCATATCATTCAATTTTTTTAAATCATTGAGAGGACTAACGATACGTGTACAAAGTTTTTTATGATCTTCGACTGTACCATTACCGAAATGAATATGATTTTGAATTGCAAGAAAATCCGGATCCTCAACTCGCATTTGTCTTGTTAATGTTATGACAGTATTCACGTGTGTCCATAACGCTCTTTCAACTCGATATTGAATCTGACGTTGAGTATTCTTGTCTTTAATTTGTTTTTTGGAATCATTTGTGTCAGTTATTGGCGGAATTACATCACTGTAGAGAGCCATATTACGTACAGGTGCAAATTGTAAAAAGTCACCTGAAAACATCACATTAATATTTCTGAATGGCACAGATGCATCCGTATGTTTAGCAATCATTAGAAGTGTTTGTAATTGAGATAACATATGTAAACCAACCACAGACATCTCCTATAGTACTCTATAACGAAGGTGGTAATCAATGATTATCCAGCTTACATCGATAAAGAGGTATTCCATATGAAGCCAATCATCTTCTATAGCTTTGATATTGGTTCGACTTTGACTATCTCTTCGATTTTTTGAGCCCTTGGTTCTCCTAGTCAAAAATGAACGCAATGTCAATCCACCAATAATTGATACAGCTATTGATGTTGAAGCTAATTTTCGAAGCTTCTTACTATTAAATCATACTAATATAATAGTTCATATAACTCTAGAAATTCTCACCTGCGATTTGTAATGAAGAAATATTTAGTCACTACAAGGATAACCTGTGATTTGCCAGTGCCTTCAGCACTAAGAATACACATAAGCAATTGTTTTTGAGAATTGCCTAGGATTAAAGGAAAAAAAAAATCTATAGAATTACAAGTATGGAATTGAACCTTCTTTTAAATGACTCCTTCCATTCAAATGACTGGTAATGATCATGAAAGCTCGATGTTGCTCATCATTGAGTTTAAAATCATGTGACATTTCTAGAGGACAACGATTCACACTAAGCTTTCCTATTACTTTTACACTAACGTTTTTCGTCGAACTTTTTCATGTGATTAATTTCCATATTGATGGATGTTGATGCATTATCTTCAAGAGATTTTGAAATACTAATATTTACAATATCTAAGTTCTCAACACCATTCAATATAGCTTCTCTCACTTTAAGTTTTGCTTCCTTAATAATTTGCTGCCATTTTGAGTTGGGAAGAACATCTGTTTCCGTGGCTTGAATAAAATATGACTTCGATAAGTCTTCTCTATTAGTAATCAGGTTAAAACCATTTTCAACGTTGAGATCAATATTTCCTTTTTCTTTTGATAATGGCACGAATCGTTGAGTTTCCACTACGCTGTTTATTGTATTTTCAATATAAAGATCTTCTGCTTTAGTTGAGCCCAATGCTATTCTGATGATCATCATTCATTTCATCTTGCAAATCAATCAAATGCAGCAAATTATTGTTGACATCTAAATCAGGATAGAATTCTTCCACGAAATTTGTTTGTTGATGTTTCATTTCATCACAGTCAATTTTTCCTTCATCAACAATAACTTGTAGCAAATGCTCGTCTCGATTACTTTTACATTCATGTAATAATTCTACATTCTAAATAATGTGCTTCGATTCTTCAGTAAAATTTTTCTCATATTGCAATAATGCATCGTTCCACGTTTGATGAATATGACATAAGTCATCAAAAGTATGCCATGGTCGAAATAGTGTTAGAATGGCTCGACAATATTGTTCACATGTATCATTTCTTTCACTACGAAGTATTTGCGGACCAACGAAAACTGGAATTCGAGGAGTACTCCAATACAGTTTCAAATGAGATTGTACTTGTGGATGATCATTGTCAAACATATATCATTTGTTCAATGGACCTCCAACAGAATTCTAATGATATAATTTAGTAAATGATATCAAAAAGATTAATCATTATACCTGTCTTTGTTAGGAATTATTAGATTTGTTTAAATACTGAAGATCAGCTGATTCTATCTTCGTCTTATAGATTTGACTTACATATTCATATAAACAAATATGATTCAATGCCATTCCTCGATGTTGACAATCAATTCGAATGTTTACTAATGCATAATCTCTTTGTTCATCACATTTTTCCACTATAAAAGTATTCTTGCTCACCTTTATCTTCATCCGATAAATTATGTTTTGTATTTTCTTTATCTTCAATGCAATTACTAACTGATCCGAATATTGTTGATTCCATATCACCTTTATAAGTTATAGATATTAATGTTATTTAATAGAAAACCTAATCTTACATGTTAATCGTACATGGGTTTCCTTTTCTTTCATTCATGCATCATCCAGGCATTTCTGTAGATATCTCTCAACACTAATCAAACATACTTTACTGAATTTGCGTGAAGTATAATGATCGGGCCATCCCATGATATGCATTATCACTTGAATGCCAGATAATTCTTGTTGGGATGCAATCATATTATAGCAACGTAGAATAAACTTGCGTGATTTCTCAACAATATTACTGTTATCAATATCATTATCGTACTTTTTTGCAGACAGGTAACCCTTATGAATTAATAAAACCATATCATAAAGTGATAAACTCGATTTAGTTATGTAATACGTGATCTTAAAATACGCACAACTAAAGCAGATATCATACATAAACTACTCACGTAATAGACCAACGCCTTCGCATCAGAACCAGTCCATATATATATTTAATATCTATATAACATCTACATGCGGAAATTATATATTCGTTATAATTATTAATCAATGGATGCAAGCGTTCTATATGTAATACAAGATCACAAAATAATTACTTTGCTCTGTTGTATAGCCTACTCATAGTTATCAATCAATTTTCAGGATCAATACTTGATCGTTCATAAATATGTCTCGGCATTCGCATTCGGCAAATCAGATTTTTCATCGTCGATTTCGAATATTTATAACAAGTTGAAGAATACTTGTGAATGTTATTTTTCATAACCAGTTGACTCATATCTCACTGAAAATGATAGTCAAAATTAAACATTTTTGGGCTGGGCGTCGTTAAACATGCTGCATTCAAGGTTTTTGTTATTGATTTATCTAAGACTTGTACGATAGTACAAATATACCACGTAACTATATCAATATCTTACTTGATACTGAAATTAGATGCTCAAAAGCAGGATTAATCCAACTTAAATCTTCTTTAATAATATTTTCAAGATAACTAATTATATTTTTACAGAAATTTTCATCTTTAATCCTTGATCTAAGTTGTGATGGTGTCATATTGTGATTCAGCCAAAGTAACACATGAGGATGAAGCGATTCGCGTTCTTGATTTTCTACTGTACCGTAGTAACTAATAGCTGGTCCCAGAACACCTCCGACAACTAAATATTATTCTTTGAGTAAGACAAAACAACTTTTTCTTACTGAGAGTATCGATGATTGTTTGAATTAATTTATCAAAGAATTTTGTAATAGCCACTGGATGTGTTGCAACCAGTTGTGCATGATCATATCTCGATGGGTATTCATCAGCAAGTATTTTATCCAAATTCAGGTTTACACCCGCCAAATACATAACAATCTAACCACCCAATTATCGAAAGGAACAGCGATTAACTGACTTACAGGATGATGAACATCAGTCGGGTTTATAGTAATAAATATACTTGGAAGACCAATATTATTTTATAAATGAATGAATTTCGACTGAAAGTAGTGCTCGTGACTGTTGAGATCCCACAACATCGCCACCAACGGCATGTATTTGTTTAAGAAGTGTGTCAAGACGTTCATTTTCACCTGATTTATATCTTCTACTTTCAATGTTTTTTAATGCAAACTGTGTTTCGTTTTGTGTAAGAGCGCTCAATCTTTTCTGCCGTACTGACGAAATAAGGTCTTGATACTATCAATCGTGCACTGTAACATGCATTTCGCTTCTGTAAAATGTTAAAAACAACATATAAAAACGAATGACTTGTCTCAAATCTCTTATCTTTAATTAACAACAAATATTGAACATGTTCTTTATATCCAATACTGATCGGTCTCGTTGTATCTTCGATAGCGCTGTATCCATATGGAAAAAGATCCTGATATAAACCTATAAAATGTGTTGGATTGGCATATTCATTCACAGATTTAGCTTCTCGGGTTATTGCATAAACTTGATCTTTAACATTATTACATGAAAGCTTCTTTGATTTCACTGAAATGCTTTAGCCACACAAATATACATTAATAAATACATACACGATCTATGAAACCGAATAAAGCCAATCATACCTTCTTGATTCAAACACATTCGCGATGATAAATGATTTCTGATATCGCATGATGATATATCAGAACAATTTATGTCCAAAACACCGCTTGTCATCAGAGAAGTTACATTAAAATTAGCACATCTGTTTAATAAGTGTTTGTTATATATTCCATTTTCTGGAACATAATTCGATCATTCGATTTCAGCGTTCTTAACATCTGTCAAATGGTAAATTGTACTTCACAATGACTCAGGCACATCATCTTCTGACAAATCATTGGCGTTTTTCAAACTGATTTGCTATATGAATCATCAAGAATGTCAATTATATCATCTTGAAGCAAAGTATTAACTCACAATGTCTTGATATTAATGATTGTGGTTTTTCAACCGTAATAGTGCAGCAAAGACCTTTTCTCTTCGAACAGTAAGAATTTTTCGCAAATCATACTGTTTTTATGCCTATATTGACAATAAAAAACGACTGATAAAAAGCAATACAATTTACTACAAACTTTTAGCTCAACACCAACAAAGATAACTTTGATCTCACTACATAAGTCGGTTATGGATAAAGGTAATGTTGATACAATTTTAGATAAATATTGAGCAAACGTGATGACATTTTCCTTGAGCGCTGATTGAGCACTCACGGAATCATGAAATATTGATTTCAATTTTATAATACAACTATTATGTCGGTACCTTGCGGTAAGCCGTAATTCTAATATTGTGAGATTTTTTAATTCTGCCGAAATATCACCGATCCACATTATGTTACTAGCAGAGTAACGTGGGATTCTGTTTTTCTTTAAATCCATGTTACACCATTTGTCAATTATCATTTCAATTGTTTCATCAATCTGCTTATTTTTGTTTCTTTTCAATCCTTGTCGATATAATAATATATTGTTGTAACGAATATAACTTGTAGTAAGTATATAATTTTCTGAATTGAATCTGTTCATTTTATCTAGATAAACATATTGTCTTACTCACCATTATATCTTTCTGGTGGATTTATTTGCATATTCGAACATAAGGATGACTTCATTCGAAATCCAGGTATGCCGTTTATGAGATCTGGATGTGGCTCTAACAAATATTGATTGGAGATGTCACTAATTTTGCATACAATCAGATTAGTTTTGTACGTATTATAGTAACATATACAACAAGTTTCATGTTCCAAGGAATTCATAGATATGGTTTTTATGAAATTGTGTAGGCACCGGTCTTTGACTTTATTTGATATCTTTGTCGACCATTCTGTATTTGATTTAAACATATGGTTATCTTTTATCTATTTCCATTGAAAATCATCTATACTTGTTTACAGTTTATCACAACATGGATTTACTTTATCATCTATCGATGTGATTGATGCTCTTTCTTCTTCAGCTTTTATACGTTTAATCTGTATTTCATCATCGCTACATAAACAATCATCCATACCAAGGTGTGTTTTGTCTTTGCAAGAATTCTTCTAAAATTTATTTTCAATTTCAAACGTTTTAAAAATCTAATATCAACCTTAATGGAACGTGACAGTCGTTCTATTTTACTTTCGTCTGCTTGACTATTTATTTTGCATTTATTGTTATAATTTTTCTTCGCACAACTATTAGCCGTACATTCATGATTTCATCGAAGTCGGATGCAATATTCATCGTCAGTTTCTTTAGGAAGTCTTTTGGCCATGCATCTACGAATAGTTTCCAAACAACATTCTCTTTGCTCAATCGTTTCATATTTTCTTTTTCTTTCTCGATCAAAACGTAATCGTTTTTGTTTGTGTTCCATTGTTTCATTTCGTCCCGATCGTCTAGAAGACCTTTGTTGTTTATTCTGAATATATGAGTTTGAGTCGTCAAGCTTCTCTTCAATATTCATCATAGAATTGACATGAACAAAAAATCAACATTATTCTTTTTTTTTTTATATATTTTAATACTTTTTATTGTTCTCATTTTTCCGCCTGGCAGACTTATACACACATTGAAAATATTTCAAACTAATTTTCTTCGTAAGACCCTTTATTTCATAAAAGGGAATAAAAGAAATTATTATGTTCTCATCCATATATTTATATCATAAAATACAAAGAATAAAGATCACGTTCAATAAACAAAGAAAATTTAACAAAAAACACAATAGAATAAAGATGACATTTGTTAACGAATCGTATATATTGACGATTTGTTTCTTTTGAATAGTTTTCTATAATCCATCCTGTACACACATATGTTATATACGACAAGAAACAAAACAAAATAGAACATCAAATAGAAGCATTTATATGTCTGTAATACACACACAATGACTGAAAGTAAAACAGAAAATAAGTATAGACATATGATTGAACGAGAAACAAAAATAGATTTTTTTATTTATTTATTTGTCTGTATCAACAATATGATATCGTTGATAATGATGATATGGTGGTTGTAGAAGATCATTATCATCATTTGAAATAGTTGATTGAACAATTAAAGGTTGTTGATCATTATTATTATTAAATCGATGTGCTTTAAGCCAAAGATCATTTATTGAATCATTATTATCATTATCGGATATATGTTTTAATGACCAATCTTGATAAAATTTTCTAAAACGATTATATTGTTCAAGTGTTATTCGTTTATGATTCTAAACAAATGATTAATAAAGAAATAAAAAGAAAGACTTTTATTATTTAACAAAAATTTAACATACTTGTCTTGTTGAACGAAATGAACAAGGTTTATATAAAAAGAAACCTGCACGATGAAATGGTCGACGTTTAAGTGTTTTTGCATCAATAAGACAATAATCATTATTGATTGTTATTACTTCAGGTGTTGATTGATCATTTAATGTTGTAAGATTTCTAGTGTTAAAAAAATTAAATAAAATTTTAATTTATCATTTTTTCCTGATGATAGTATTGTTTTATTTATAAATCGTTTTGAATTCTCTAGAGCTACTACCATTTTATGCTTTTTTTCGATCATGGCACGGTATGTAACAACAAACCGGATGATAATAATCCGGCTAAAACTTTAGGTCACAGGTAGATCTACTTGCGACTAAAACGCTTCTTCCGCGAGATATTGGATTTCCAAAAATGAAAATTGAAATTTGTACTACTTTCGTCAGACATAAGTGGTCTTTGGAAGTCCAATGTCTCACAAATGAAATATTCTAGTCATAAGTAGACCTATTTGTAGAACAAAGTTTAGATTATAAATACAATGATTCGATTTGTTGATATATACCGCGTCATAATCAAAAATTCGCGTGAATTGGCTATACCTCTAGAAAACATGTCGAAGGGCATTCACTCCTTTGGATATTTTCATATTTGACTATGGTACGCCTCATTTAATTCAAACCAAAGATTTGCGGGATCACGAGAAAATAATTTGTCGAAATCGCAACTCAAGTTCATAGAAAAATATTCTAGAGTTTTAAGCAAATTATCTTATATATTAGAGAATAGTTCAAGAGAGACAGTCTAAAAAAATGGAAGCCGTTGACTAAATAAATCGAAACAAGGAGCATTAAAAAATTATTTTTAGATGTGCTACGAAAAAGTACTGAAAAAGTTTTCTCTAGATCAGAATCTAAAAAATTTGCAATTACTGAAACCAAAGAAACTTAGTCCTACACATCTCTAGTACGAATTCAAAAACGATTGATTCCTTTTGAATTCTCTTGTTAATCATACCGAAGTAAAAATCGAGGTTTTTTTCGTAATTTTGTTCTTAAATGTGCTGTACTTGTTTCATCATGATCACCTTCATTCTTATGTAAATATGATTCAACATAATTTGTTCCATTTTCACATATTTTTTCTTCATCTTCATCATCTGATGAATCGATAAGAATTAATGAAGTTGTTACTCGACGATCATTTTTAAACTTAAATAAACATAAACAATAAAATATATTATCCTATAAATTATAATTTATGTTTGACATACTGAACAAATACGAAATAAACGATTTCCATTAGCATATGGTTCCATTTCACGTTGATAAATAGCTTCAGCATTTTGTTGTCCAATTGAATAAAGATTATCAACAAGACCTACTGTACCACTTGTACGTGAATATAAACGCATGATTGCATCTGATGATTCATCAGTTACAATAGCATGAAGCTAGAAGAAAAATTACTATTAAAAAAAAAACAGAAAAGCCATTTTTCTTTTTCTTTTTTTTAAATACTTGTCGAACACAATTTTGAATAATTTTATCCATTGTAAATGCAATATATGCATGAATACCAAACATTTCACGTAGTGAATCTTCATACGATGAACTATCCATATTACCATCAAGTAAATGACGTATCATATCAAGAAATACTGAATAATATTCTTCAACTGATATATTTGCTAGATATAAATAAAAAGTAAGATTTCTTTTTTTTTTCTTCGTAAGAAAAAATAAACTTACGACGATTTGATAAACGAAATACAGAAGCTATCGATGGTGATCGATTACGTTGTGAACCATTATCTTGTTCAATTAAACGTAATGATTGTTGAAACATTTTTAATAAACGTTCACATAATAATTGATGAAGACGAAAAAAATAATAATAATTATCATTAACAAAAAATAAATGAAACATATCATCCTAATTATAAATAAATATGATATATAAATAGATACGAATAGAAAATTTTTTTTTTCTTACAGGTTTTTGATATTCTTGTGACATTTGTCGTGATTTAGTTGTTGAAAGATCTAGATTACGTCGTCGATTTGTATCGGTATAACGAATTGGTCGAGATTTTTTATCACGTTTAGTATTATTTTCATTTTCAGCATCATCATCATCATCGTCTATAGAAAAAAAAAACAAATTATAACTGATTTCAATATTTGAAGGTGTTAATTTAATGTTAGTTACGAATAGGATAGAATCTTATTTTCAATTCATATACAAGAGAAATTAGATCTAACTAAAACATGTTGATTTCGTTCAAATTGAATGATTAGCAAGGATGAAATCGATTCGTGTTTTATTTTGAAACCAAACCAATCCCATCTCTGTTACATATCTTCAATTAAAATTCATTTTTAATCACTGTTCGTAGATGTTCCTGCGTTACCTGCTGAATTTCAATTTTTAGAGTAACATATCAAAGCAAAACCTAAATGTATTTCATGATTATTGGTAATTAGTTTGAACTTATCTTGAAAATTGTTTATATCTATGAGATGATCAGTTTTCTAGCGAAATATAACTGATGGGTAGAACTATGTTCCATGGGAATGAAAATACTAACACACATAGATAAAAGGATATATTGTCAGACTGTAGATCAATCGCATTTTGTCGTTAGATATGTATTGATCCGCAAATTGAAAGCAATTAATCTTATACGATAGTTTCGATATCAAAAATTTCTAAATTTAGTTTTCAATTGAATGAGGCACTATGTGTTAGGAGTTCAGTCATTGGGTATATGTATTATAGAGTGTACACATTTTGCTTATGTTGCTCTCTAATTTTCACCAAAGTAGCTTTTGTTAGAATAGCAAGAATATGTCGATGATCACAATAAGTATATCATAATTATCTTTCTTTTATAGTCGAGCGAGAGACCGCATATTACACAACTTCAATTCCGAAGTCTCCGCCATTTCCTTCTTGCGTTTAGCTTTGACCAATATCATGTGAAAATATTCTACTTTTTATTGATTACTTCAAGATTTTATATGGAAGTCGCTAATGATAAGTGCATTGACTATGCATATGATTTGAATCAGATAAAAAACCACCAGTATTCGTAAATAGCGACTAAAAATCGATGTTATACTGACAATCAATCAGAGGTAGTTTGTCCCTTAAACAGTTGGCTACTCTCTAACTGCCAGTCTACCTCTGTATACCAATAGTCATTCTCTGATCAGTAATACAATACTGATTTACTAGAAGTACTATAAACAAACATGCGACGCGAATAATAATTGTCAGAAAGAAACATGTTTTAATTTCCTCTAACGATAGACTAAAAGTTACAATCTGTAAACTTTATATAACATATAAATGTACCTTCTTCATCATCACTTAATTCTCCACGTGGTGCAAAAAGAAAATCTGGTAAAAATTGATGAATAATTTTTTTAATATTTTGTTTATCTTCTTTAGTAAATGTCATTTGACGTTTAACAAGAAATATAATTAATGATGCAGCATCATCAAGTATAGATAAATCTTCATAACAAAATATAAGATGTGGTTGATTATTATTTGGTGATAATTGTTGATCACGCTAAAAAAAGAAAATGAATAAGAAAAATAAACCATACGACATGAATTTCATTTTTTACTTCTTCTTTAATATTTTCAATTTCATTTAATAAATGACGATTTCGAATAATTCGTCCATCAGAATTTTTACAATTAATTCCCATATAATCTAATGATTTAAGATAGTATTTTTCACTTTGTTCTTTCCAAAAACGTTCAAAATTCTTTTTTGATTCACGCCATTCTTCATCTTTAGATTTTAAACTAAAATAAACAAACCAACGAAAAAAAAAAAATTCTTTAAAATTTCTTGTTGTTTTTATTATTTAATTTCAAACCGTTTTAAAACAATTGGAACAGCAACACGTGGATTTCTTTTTAAACCATCAATTATTTCATTTGCACGTTCACCATAAATTCTTTGTACAGCTTGTCTTTGTGTAAATGTTGATTGTCCACCTAATTGATCATCTAATTGAAAATTATTTAATTGTTCTGATGTCAATGAATTCATATGTAATTGTACACTTTCTAATGCTCGTATGGCACTTAAATTAACTTCCATAACAATATCAAGTTCAAAACGTTCATCTTCAATTTTATACATATGTTCTTCAAAAACACTTTTTTTTGCTGCTACTGATGATGATTCATCAGTAAATGTTGGAAATAATACACAATGATCATTAAGAACTTCTTTACATAATTGTGTTCGACCACTACATGTTGGTGGAATATATGAACGTGGAACAGATCGATAACTAGTACCATATTGTGAACATGATCCATAATCTAAATATTATGAAAAATTATTTAAAAAAACAAATTTATAATTAAATGTCACGGAAATAATTTGAGTTTTATTTCTTTTTAAATTTTCAGATAGAATCATTATACTTCTGTAGAATGGCACTTATCTATAAAGATAAATATATTGAATAATATGACAATGAATAGTATTATTGTCTTTTAATATTTTAACATTAATGTAATACAAATAGACACGCACCAGGCCCAGTGTAACCCGAACAGGTGCATACCTAAAACCAAACTTTCGAAAACTCATACTTCGATGGTTATAACTAAAGAACATGGAAAATTTTTAACTATATTCAAAATTTTAGTTCAAAGATACTATAGTCCGATCAATTAAAAGTCTGAGTAAAACGTTTGATTTTCTTTTCTTGTATCTTCAAAGAAAGAAATTCAAGTTTTCACTGAGATTAGTGTCTCCTAGTACTATAGTCACTAATTTACTATGAGCTAAAAGTTTCACTAAAAACTTAATTTTTGCTCTGCAGATTACACAAAAAAAAATCAAATTTTTTACTCGTACTTATAATTGATCAGACTATAGTTGTAATTAACTATGTCACAACGGGTCATTTAACTTGGAATATCCACAAAGAAAGTCTAACGAGGGAAGTACCCCAACTGTCAAATTGTTTTCGAGTCGGGAGTGTGTGCATAATGTAGGTCCTAATGAGCTATGAATACCCTGAAAAGGGTTCGTGCTGCTAGCTTATTACTACCGAGATATTGCATTTTTACGGTGGCTTTAAATAGAAAGCCATGATCACCCTCAGGAACACAAGGAAAACTGATTTTCGAATTTCGACTTGAAACTTTGCACATAGATAGGTCTCAATGAGAATAGTTTACTGTGAAAGTTTCAAATCTTTTGGTTATTCCTATGCTAAGATACAACTATAATAAAAGTGTGCTGTTACATTGCCTATATACATCGACGAATTCCGATGTTCTTATTTCAGACTAAGAGCAATCAAAAGATTTTAAACTTTCACCGTAAACTATTCTCATTGAGGCCTATCTATGTGGAAAGCTTCAAGTCGAAATTCGAAAATCAGTTTTCCTCGTGTTCCTGAGGGTGACCATGGCTTTCTATTTAAAACCACCGTAAAAATGCACTATCTTGGCAGTAATAAGCTAGCAGCACGAACTCTTTTCAGGGTATTCATAGCTCATTAGGACCTACATTATGCACACACTCCCGACTCGAAAGCGATTTGACAGTTGGGGTACTTCCCTCGTAGGACACAAAAGAAAACAAATACATATGGACGATCTAGACGCTTCTTACATTTTTTCCATAAATCTTTGATGTTAAGCTAGTTTTAATAGTATTTTTAAAGTATTCCATATAGCATCGATGGTAGAGTCGCAAGGCTTGGATAAACTCAAACATCTTTCTCGTTCCAGTAGATTGATAGATTTGAACAGTGCATCACATTTTTTTGTGCAAATACCATTATTCTTCAATATCTTCAATAGCTAATAATAACATTTTCTTAAATGAATAGAAGTAGAACTCTTCATTACTAGTGAAGATGAACTGTAGGAAAACTTTGAACTAGATAAAGTAGAATTTTCAAAATTTTTCTTTTGCTTCCTGTGACTAAGGTTATATGTCAATTAAACATTTTCAACATTAAAGATAGTCACAATGCAGCATCTTTTCTTCTCGTGATACATTTCTACTTCATCACCAAACTTTTTCTTCCGGTAAAGTAGATTAGGATCTCTGCTTTTAAAAGTCTCATTTCAATTAACGTAAACATCTGTATGTTTTTTCTTATGGAAATTGTGAATATTTTTCTGATTATTTTCATTAGTGTTACACGTTTCAAAATGTAAATTTGATAAAAGTGACATTAATTGTATTTCTTCTAAATAACATTCGAAAATGCTTCTACTCTCATTTTTAACTTCCAGATAAAGCTTTTTTATAAAAGATATTGAGCCTATCCTAGCAGCAAAAGGCCTTTAACACTGAATGTCTAGTAGTGGGAAGGAATCGATCACTTTTTTCGATCTGACGTCTTCTATATATGTTCCCATGCACGAAAAGAACGAAACATATCCATTTCAAGCCATATAATTTACTCAATAACAAAAAAAAAACACTTGAAAAATTTTCTTTCATTTTCCGAGAAACCAAATAACTTGACTTAGACTATACAATAAAAAATAATATTACATATTGATAAGTATAATCGAGTAAAATTTCGAAGGCTTCAAATATAAATAGCTCGATTATAAATAAAATGTAATGTTCAATATAAAACAACTTAATTTTTTTAATTCATAAAGAAAAAAACTTACCAATACTAATCATACTATCAGTATCATTTTGATCATAAATACTTTTTGGAATAATAACTTCACCTGGTTCACGTAAATTAATTAATTCTTGAAATGTTTTTAATAATTCTGGTACATGACTAGAAAAACAAAATAATAATATTGTTCTTGTTTGTTTTTTAATAAATATCTTTTACCCAAGATATGATTGTATAAGTTCAAATAATTCAATACGAGATATAATTCGTTTTGTATAAAGAAGAATACAACGTAGAAAATTATCAAATACTAATGGACTACGAAGAGTTCTTTGTACCTTAAGAAATTAAATCAACAACAATAAAAAAAAAGAAATTCTTATGAATAAAAATACTTTATCAAAAAATGCTATTTCATCTATTGAAGGTAATCTTTTATTATGTTCTGTTGTATTATTGTGAATATTAGTATCATTAATACTAGATGATATTGTTGGAGTATTATTTGTTAATGTAATACGTTTTTTCTTTGTTATTCCTGTTAATTTCGATGATGAAACAGATCGTTTATTTGTATTAATTGATGATGTTATTATTGTTGAATGTTTTGGTGAAGATGGATAACATATTTCATCTTTATTTATTGTTGATGATATAATAGTCTGTGATGGTATTGGTGAAGTTGTTGTTAATGATGATGAAGATGTTGATGGTGTTGTTATTGATGATGAAACTGTATTATTTATAATTAAACGTGGTGTTGTATTTGATACAATTGAATTTATTGATGTAGTTGAAGTATCTGATGATGATAAAATATCCGAAATACAATTCATACGTTCCTTTTATGCAGAAAAAAAATAGTAAATAAATGATTTTTTTTTTTTATTGTTTTATTTAAATTTACTGTTGGTTGTTGTGTAGCATCGGGTAAAAATTGACTAAATTCTGAGAGAAGATCTTCATGATTAGTAAATAATTGTGCAACTTTAGCATAAACTTCTGTTTCAGAAAGAAATGTTGTTTGATTATTTCCTCCATTATTCGACGTTGTTAATGAAGCTATTTAATTTAATTACAAAAAAAAAGAAGACAAGTTTTTTTTTTCTTCGTAATTTAAAGATAATGAATCAAGCATGCTACCAATTCTTGAAATATCATGTCAAAGATGATCCTTTTCTGTATAGACAATGTAAGTGGCTATTGATTCTCTGTATTAATCATTGCTCACGATGGTATATTTCTAAATGTCAAATCGCTCTTGTATGGAAATTATGTGCATCATGTGAGTTCTAATGAGCTGTGAATATACTGGAAAGAGTTCGGGTTGATGGCTTATTGCTATTGGAATACTGTACTTTAACCGTATTTTTTAGCCGGATGCCGTAATCTGCTTCATAAACAATAGAAAAACTGGATGTCAAATTTCTATTTGAAACCTTAGACACAAACAAGTCTTATCGAAAACAGCATATTAAGAAAGTATCAAGTTTTCTTTTGATTACATCTGTTTTGAAATAAGAACATCTGGATTTGCCGTTGTATATCAGTGACACGAAAAACATGTTTTTACCAACTATTCTTATTCAGATATGACTCTATGCAAAATTTCAGATCGAAATTCAGCGTTTCGATTGTTACCAAAGAAAATCACGGCATACTGATAGAAACACAGTTAAAATACAGTATCTGAACAGCAATAAACTATTAGTTCGAACTCTTTTTAGAGTATTTCATGGCTCATTAGAACATACATGATGCGTATAGGCATAAATCAAAAGCAATTTTTCACAGTTAGAATGCATGAAATACAAATAAAGATATCAGAAGTAATCAAAGTTCATATTGTCGAAGTGCAATTTCCATTACTTCTAGAATTCGTTGACCCGACTTACTAGAAAAATTTCGAACCCTGATTGAGTCCTAAACTAACCCGACCAGCTCTGATCACTCTAGAGACACATGCTTTGCATTCGATGAATTGTAAAAAACAGTTTCTAATTTTTAGTATACATGTACTAATTCCTGAGATTTCGATTAGAGTCAATGTGCGACCAAACGCGAGGGCTGCATAGGTAGCACCCTCCAAAGATCAGCTTCACCCTAGTGAAGTTTTAAATCATCCCTTTGATAGAGAAAATCTCAATAAAACACTAGGTTAACTATTAGTTTATTTCCAGTATTGAGAAATACCAAATTTCTCTATAATTATTCACAAGTAGCTATCATCAATTTTAAATGCTCTATCAGAAAGTATTGTTAGATTTCATCGAATTTTGGTAGATTCCGAAACCATTCTCTTGTATTCTATTCATAGTATGGATATGTTTAACATGTTGTTTCAAAAATTAGCGAAATATCTAATTCATTACTTGCTGGTGATTCTTTCGCATCTTTTTGTTGTTTTTGATATGTATGAAGAATTTCAAGAAATGTTTTATATACATTAGGATTTCTAAAAAATAAAAATATATGAAATTTTACGAATGACAAAACAAAGAAACTTACTGATGAAATCGATTTTTAATTTTATTGACATAATTTATTGCATGATTAAATTCAACTGGTTGTCCATTAGAATTTGTCGTATTATTATTATTATTATTATTATTACTCGATATTTGTTGTTTATTTGTTTTTGTTGATAAACTAAAGCCACCTGTTGTACCAAAATATGGAATTTGTGGTGCACTAGCTGCTGATATTAATGCATTAACTGCTTGTGATGTTGGATTAGTTAATTGTTGTTGAACTTCATTTTTAATTTGTACATCTTCATTATCTTCATTTAATAAATTTGATGTTTGCCGTATAGTTGATGAATGATATGTTGTTGATGTTGGTGTTGTTATTGCTAAATTATATGTTGAATTATTATTTCCAATAGCAATAGATTCGGTTCGTGATGATGGATGTGTTACTTGAATATAACACGGATGATCATGGCTAACTTCTATTTTATAACCTGGAGGTAAAAAAGTGTTAAAACCAACAATCAAATCTGGATGACCATGAAAGAGTGTTGATACACGATTGATTACTTCTTGAGTATCAATACTAAAGAACGATAAATAAATTTTCAAAAACAAAAAACAAAAAATTTCTATTTTGATGAAAAATACCTTTGTGATTTAAACTCTTTCATAATATCCAAAAATTGATTGTATACTTGCGGTTGAAGCGCAAATTGGTTCTTCACTTTATCGAGATAACTAAGTGCATCCTCCACTTTAAGGCGCTTGAAAATAAATAAATAAATAAATACATAACTATTTTCAAAATAATAATCAAATATAACTTACTGATGATGTCGATTGCCCTTGGCTAAATGTTGATGTATTCGTATTATTTGGTGGTACTATACCACTAGATAAATTTGAAAATAGATTTACAGGTGATGAAGTATTTGGTATATTTGAAACAATCGTTGCAGTTGTTGATGGTGATCGTCTTTAAAAAAAAAACAAGAAATGAAATTTAGGTTTCTTTTTCCTTTTGTATTAAATAATATTAAATACTTACGTTATGGAAGGATTTTGAACAAGTGTTGAAACAACGGTATTCAAACCCTAAAATATAATTTTGAATAAGAATATTAATTTTTTTTTTTTAAAGTTTTATACTAAATTGCCAGAGCTCGGGTTCATAAGATCAAGTTTTTTTTGTTTGCAAAACAACACAAACTTCTCGTTAGCTGATTTCTGTTCAAGGCTTGCCAATCACAGAAAAAAAATCGAATGAATAATATAATCTAAAATTATTAAAAATTTCATGAGATATAAAAAAAAAAAGAGAGAGAAAAACTCTAGAGAGTTGGTAAAAATGATTCTTACCAATGAGCGCTATGAATAATTTAACATCAACATCGTGCGTAACGACAAGCCATAACTATCCAATAGTAAAGAAATATGTTGCCATTACTCGTTTATATAAGTTGTCCTCCATTATTTTGTCATTGATCAAGAAAATAACAAATAAGATAGAATCACGGATTGCATGAATAGTTTTTTTTTTCTTTTTCCCACTTTCAACTTACAATATTGTTGTGTTCTGTCTCTTGTAGAGACCGTGCCAAATTACAGCTTTTCCTATCTCATTCTTTATATTAATAAGAATTCATCAGCAAACCCTTTTTTCGTGTCAACAAATAGATATGGCAGATATGCACCGACACATGAAAACAAAAGGTCAATGATGTCGCTGTTTTTTGTTTTTTTTTTCCTCTAAGGAATCGTATCTCTTTCTTTCTGTCGTAGAGTAAATCATATCTTACTCATGACTATGATGAAAATAGTAACATTTGTAGTCATAATTTGCCTGACAAAAGTGTTCTTTTTTTTTCAGTATTAATAGGACATATATACTGACAGTATGTAAAGCATATAATATTTCCCTATATATGTTTATTCTTCGAACCTCGTGGTTATTACTAGTGATTATCTTTGTTTTTTTGTACGCGTTGTCCTTTTCATGTATTTGATACGCGTCAGAAATCGTAAAAAAAAGAGATACAGAAGTGATTATTAACAAGAAAAAAAAAAACGAATCAGTCCAAAATGTACTATTGTATTTCAGTGTCGTCAGCTGCGTATTCTCACTTTTGTTTCGTAGTTTGTCCTCGAATGTTTTTTGGTTTAGTGCAAAAGCACGTGTTGAGATTTCTACAATTAACTACTGATGAGAAGAAGCGATGTTTGTTAATGACTTGTTTAAAATATATAAATAATAGTTGTCGCTAACAAGCTACCGGCATGTTATTTTTATGAAGCATCAAATAAATCTTATTTTATTCCATTCTTTTTCAAGCAATCCGGTATATGAAAATTCTTTGAGAAGTATGATGCAATGAGTACATAGTGAGAAAAACAATAACAAGTTTCTCTCCTCTTTTTTTTTTTTTCTTTTCTTTTTTTCCTGCTTCTTTCTTTCCTTGCAAACACAACATTTTCGCATCCTCTTCTCAACTCAGAGTAAATATTCATGCATTAGGCGTCAACTACACGCGTGTTTACGTACGATTCAAAGACTCAAACATATATATATATACTATAAAAAGGAAGAAGAAAAACAATACCGATGAATTACTTTTCGATTGGTCAGTTCTTTTTCATAGTTTTGTTATTAGTATTTTACCTTAAGCAAGCCTAAAAGTAATGAGGAAATGACTATGTGTCATATACAGTTTTTGTTACTATATATAAACAATTACACCTTACATATTTTTCTTCTTGATTCATTTTGTCTTTTTTTTTCTTCTTTATTTAAAGATATACAATTAAAAACCTTGACAAGGACGAACAAAAAAAAACAGGCTACATGTTAATTTATAGATCTTGCATGTTCTTTCCTATATAATTAGTGTCGATAATAATACAATAACCATCAATCGACATATTTCTAGCAAAATATAAATGAGTAGTTCATGTTCAAGTATATTATAAAAATTCTAAGTTTTTTTTCTTAATCTTCGATTGCTAATCTGATGAGTCTATATATTAAATAGAAAAGAATGTCAAAGCTTTTTATCATGTTGTCTGTTTTACTTCATTCTTAACTTGTTTATAAAGAAACGGAAACGACAAGTGAATTACTTTAAGCTTATTTTAGATTATATGTCAGAACATAAGATTTTCTAACGTCATCATCGACATGGATATTTTTGTATATATATTTAAAAAAAACTTCATTTTTCAGATTAATAAGGATTGGATTCAGTCAAATAAATGAGATTTCAGGAGTATTACTTCCTAATAAGAATTTCTTTTGAAATTTTCATCTAAACATTAAAAAAAAAGTACAAAGAATAGATGTATACATGTAGGTATATCTATATATTATTTTATTTTTAGATATCAAAGAAAATCAAATGGCATGTTGGTTAGAACAGCCAACTTCAAATAAAGAATTTTGTGATGCTATCGACGAAATAATGAAACAGGAACGTGAAGATGTTATTTTACTCGATGATACTCTTTCATCTGGAGCACATTTAGAACTTGATCTTGATTCAATATCCGATTTACTTGAAACTCCATCAACAGCTCCAACTACTACAGCATCAGTTGTGTCACCAATATCCCCCTCATCAACAACAGATTATAGTCAACCAACAAATATTTATGATATGACATCAACATCACATACATCATATCCCATTAATAATAATAATAATAATAATAATTCACAATCAAATTCAACAACATCATCTTATTCGGTGTTGGGTATAAGTCCAAAATTTACAACATTAAGCATTAATCAACATCATCATCCATTTTCACCATCATCACAAGATTCAAATAGTTCATCAGCATTACTTCAATCGTTTGTTCAATCTCCAGTAACAATTAATTCAAAAAATAGTTTACATCCACCACCATATGTTCAAGAACAACAAAATACATCAATTCTTGGTACATCATATCCATTTGAATTACCAATAAATAATGGTTTATCAGATGTTAAACGTTTTCGTTCATCAAGTATGAATGAAGGAGCAACACAACATCAAACTAAATTAGGTCAATATATTTTTATTTTCATGTCATCTTTTTTACTTTCATTTACTTTAGATCCTCATCTATTCGATCCATATCGTCTTAAATTACCTTCTTATATACATCCTCCGTATTATCAAAATAGAACATCATCAACAAATATAGCAACAACACCTACTACAACAACAACAACTTCATCAACATCATCACTTTCAAATGATCTATCATCAAATACAGCATGGCCATTCGTTGGTTGTACACGACCAGCATCAAATTCATTTTCAGAAGTATTAAATCAACAACAACTTCGTCTAAATAATAGTTTATCAGCATCTTATGGTGGTTCACCATCATTTTACTCAATTCCTCATCCACGAAATCAAACAGGATTTTTACCAGATGCTAGTTTTCAACCACAACAAACAACCAATTGCACATTATATTCACTTAATCAACCAACAGGTGGTACTACAACTTCTCCTCCTCCTCCATCTGTTCTTGCTCGAAAAAGATCATCTTTAGTTGGCTTTCCCGTTCAAGAAATAAAAGGTAGTTTTAAACAAAAACAAAAAAAGTAAAAATACGAAAATAAAAATAAATTTTTATTCAGATGATCCAAGTAGTCCAACTGGGACAATTGAACAACAAAGTGAACCTGATCTTTGGTCGGATATAGAACAAAATTCTTCTGATCATATGCAAGATGATGATATTGAAGATGATGATATAACTAGTGATGATGACACAACAACAGTATCAAGTACTTATAATAAGGATTCTGATACAAAGTTATCACAATCACATCCAAATGCTTCATCACTTTTTTGGCAATATAATGTTCAAGCTAAAGGGCCGAAAACAAAACGAATACTCTATTTAAAAGAACGTGATCCACATCTTTTTCGAGAATTTAGTGATCCAGTTTATCAAATAAAATTAACACAAACAAAAGGTCAAACATTTACTAAACTTCGAAAAGGTGATGGAAATGATGTAACACCAAATCCAGTGAAACTCTATCAACTTGGAAAACAAATACGAGATTTAACAGCATGTGTTGGCAAAACAAATGCGAATACACAATCAGTTTATCATGGAATTTATCATGTTGATCAACAAACAAATAATAATGATACTGCTGAAGTTAAAAAAGAAAAAAATAAAATTGCTAGTCGGTTTGTATTTGACAGGAAAAAATTCTTGTTTCTTTTTTTTAGTTTTTATTATTTGTTATTCAGGGCTTGTCGACTTCGTAAGAAAGCACAACATGAAGCAAATAAACTAAAATTACACGGCTTGAATGAAGAACACAGTAAGTTTCTTATTGACTTCTCTTTTATTTTTCTTCTTTTTTTATTACAATTAAATGAAAACAAAAGAAAAAGAACAAGAAAGCCTTCTGACGACCTTTACATTAAGTAGCTTTTGATCTTCTTTTTCTTTTTTCTTTTCTCTCAGAAGAAATATTATCTTGTTTCCTTTTTTTTTCTATATTGGATTATTTTTTCCTCTTTTTCTTCTTCTTCTTCTTCTTCTTCTTTTTTCCTTTTTTTGGCACATATTCAAAAACAGAACGATAAACTTGGATTCGCGTAGGAACACTTAGCCTATAACTTAGAATTTTCCTTCTGGTCTTGTTATTTATATGAACACTTGATTCAATAAAAAATGTTTAATATCCTGTTTTGAACTATAATTAGAAAGTTATTATGAAAATAAGAGCAGTTTAAAATAATATATATGCTCGAAATGAATAATGTGTTGTGTTTTTGTTAAGACTATATAAAATTTGATATATATATATATTTTAAAAATAGTTCTAAGATATATTTACAAAGCTACTTTTTTTTAAATTTATTTAGAAACATTAATTGACTTAATCATATCTATAAAATTACTTATACTCAAACGATATCATAATGGTCAACTTGCTTCTCCATCATCCTCACCAAATCAATCACTTGAAGCTGCATTAGAACAATTGATTGCGAATAAATACAGTACATATTTGATTTGAATTCATCGAAAAAAAAAAGGCTAACATTTTTCATTTTGACTATTTTAAGATAAACCAGTTGCTGGCAATACTGATGGTTTTGTTCAAGGAATTATTAACGATATGGAACAGTTGTATGCTTCAAAACAACAACGAA